AGCCAGGGATGGAACACCTGCAGTCTGTGGAAAGCTTGGAAGTGTAAGATACCACCCCTTTTCCCAGGATAAGGCTTCACTGGGAAGATGCTCTAACAACAGTAATCTAACAGTTCAATGAGACCACGCACAGCTCCCCTGTACACAACACCAGCTCCCATGATTCTATAAACAAGAGAGTGTTGAGATGCACTCTGCGTGCAATGGTCAGGCAGGAACAGAGAGGTAAACCAACAGGTCCTCCTGTAAAAAGGAGTTACTTTTGCCAATGTGGAGAGACAGAGTTAAATGAATAAGTGAGCAGACTGTGTCTGACACCCCGTGCATGGGGCCGCCCTCCCAAACACAGAACATAATAAATCAAGGTCAGAGAGAGATTCCCCAACAACTCTCAGAAAATAATTGAGAACCCATCATACAAATCAGAGAGTTCATGTGCTTCCACAGCTTGGTACTTGGAGTTACCAGGGACCACCCACTTGCACTGAATTTACTAATTGTGCAAACCTTGTGTGTCACGGCTCCCACTGTGTTCCCTTGTCACAGGAGCATGACAACACAAAGCTGCAAAACGCAACAGCAGAGCAGTCTTTGCACTGAACACTACTGTACACGATGCAAAACTCTTTGTCTGTTTCAACTGAGAAGTGTGATTCAAATGACTTTGGAACAGCATTTTACACCAAACTTGGTGGGTCCATGCAGTAAACCATGAAAGCATTTGTTTCCCACAGCGACACAAAGAGATGTAGCTAGAAAAAACTTTTAGATGAGAACTGGAGTTTCCATAGGATTTTGTAGACCTGTTTGGGTTAAAGCTCATCCAGTTCCAACCCCTGCAACAGGCAGGGACACCTTCAACTAGAGCAGCTTGCTCCAAGCCCCATCCAGCCTGGCCTTGAACACTGCCAGGGATGGGGCATTTACTTATTCCAGATTTCTGCACAGAAATCAAACTCTTCGTTACCACCAGTCCCTCCTCTGATAGACTGCTTTAAGGAAAATCAGGCTACCAGCAGTACCACATACCTTTATTGCCATGTACTAACTGCATTACATGTGTTAATTGCTCTTACTCTTTGACATCTCTCAAGCCTCTATAATAGCCAAGGAAAAACCCCACACCTGTTCCATAAGCAATTCCTGGGAATCATCACATCGCTGCACCAAAAAGCCACTGGAAGATACAGGACTCTCACCACGGTTAACTCTAATATTTTTTCCAGTCAGTAGTTACAGCAGATGCAATTTGTTCAAAACCAAATCAAAGCCGTTCCTCTGCACCATCCCATGGGTGTGGTTGAGAACTCTCCTCCCTTTTCAATACCATGAAGTAAACGGAGCCCCTACAGATGGAGTGGCTACAAACAGCGCTGCTCACAACTTGCACAGACCATCCCAGTCCCCTCCGTGGGCCAGGCTGTAGCAACAAGAAACGTGGCGGGATACACATAGGAGCCTTGGGACATACCCTTCACTTTGCATCCCACCTGCCAGAAGCACCAGCTTCCCGAATCAAAGTTAGAGTATCTAGGCAGTGCTCTGGGCACAGAGCTTCACGTGGGACTCAGTAAAGCAAGATATTCCAGTTGACTGCAGTGCTCTGGGATGACAACAAAGAGCAGCATTCCCCACGGAGTAACACGTTACAACGGGCAGCTTCCACATTTATTATCTCAGCGAAGCTGCCCTCCTGCCTTGCCACTATCCTCACATGAACGCAGAGCTTCACGATGCTCTGCTGCAGAACCCTGCTTCAGCACTGACACCACGAAGAGTAACACACAGAAAACTTCCTCCAAAGCCAAGGCCAAGCCTCACCTCCAGAAGAGGAGACCTCGCAGCCAGCTTGCTCCCAGGCCACAGCTGCAGGACAACCCTGGACAAAGGCTTAAGCAACCGGATTTACCTTCTTGTGCCACCTGCTTGCTGTTGGACACAACGCGCTCCCTCACCCACGAAACGCTTCCAGTTCTGGAACGGAACCCCCCGGTAACGCGGTACCTAAGATACGGGCACGGCTTCGACAGAAACAAGAAAATCCGAAGCCGTCACAGCGTGTCCCACAGGGAACACGGCGAGTCCCAGGAACGCGGCTGCTCCGAGCCGGGCGGACACGAGTCCTGCGGGCCCGGCCAGCCCCAGGCGGTGATGGGCCGGTTCCCGCTGCCCCGCTCAGGCCCCGGAACGACCCTGCCCGGACCCATTCGCGCCCGGGGCTAAAGCAGGAAGTCCCGGAGCAGCGACCTCCGCCACCAAGTCCCAGGATGTAAAAACTGCCCGAGTCCCAGGGGGAGCCGGGAGCCGAGTCCAGGCGCGCCCGGGGCTCCAGGTGCTCGCCGGAGCCGGGCAGCGCGGGGGGCCCGGGCACCCGGCGAGGTCGGAATCTCGGGGGCGGAGGAACGGGCGAGCAGCGGCCCGCCCCCCGGCGGGGATCCGCCGCAAAGTCGCGATAGGCGCGCAGGGGAGGGCGGCGGCCGTCCCGCCGCTGCGATCCACGCCAGAGCCGGCCCGGCCCGACCCCCGCGAGGTCCCTCCCGGCCCCAGCACTGCCCGCCCCGCGGAGCCCCAGCGAACCCCGCTCACCTGCGGGGCTGGAGCCGCCCGCCCCGGCCTCGCTCCGATCCCGAACCCGATCCGCTCCGCTCCCGCGGCAACGGCCGCGCTCCCCGGGCACCTCCGGGACGGGTGCGGCGGGGCGGGGCGGGGCCTCCCGCGTGAACCGCCCCGGGGTGGGGGTGGGGGGGGTGCAGGGCCTCCTGCGGGACACGCCCAGGTGGGGCGGGGCCACAACAATGCGCGCTGCCGTCTGGGGCGGGGCCTCGTATGCAAACGAGGTAGAGCCACGGCCAACCACCTCTGGCTCGTCACGAATAATTCATAATCCCGCCCCCGCGGGGCCAATCACAACGTGGGCACGGCCACGCGCTGCCTGCCGCTGAGAGAGCGCACCCCCGCCGGCCGCGGAGCCAGGAGCTGCGGGCAGGGCCCGGCTCCGCTGCCCCCAACGGAGCACACCCGGCGGCCGCCGAGCGCTGCCAACCCGCGCCAAGGCCTGGGATTACCTCCGACACAGGGCCAGTGGCGCCCCCGCGTCAGCCGAGCTTCCCCAACGGATGGGCTCCTGCTAACGTGCGCGTTTCTGTCATCTTGCCACATCCAGCCGGTCCGCGTTGCACCGGTACCAGTGTGCATCACGGCCCCATCCCGGTGCAGGCTCCGTCAGTCTGTGGTGCTGAGCAAGGCAGCCACAGTTTCCCAATCCTCCCTGCAGTGGTTATTAAATGGTAATTGTTTTGTGCTGAATCAGGGAGTCTGCCCCAGCAAAACTCACTGGGTGGCTCTCGTAGAGTTCATTGATACAATTCCACGTTGGCATAAGCAGATGAGACTGAAATCAACGGGAGTGAGTCTAACCTAATTCCAGGCCAAACGCTGAGCCCCATGGGTCAGGCTAGAGCTCTCCTGGCTGTGCCTGTTCTTAGGAACTCCCTTCTCAGTGCCTTTAATCTGTGCAGCACCCTGGGAGAACGCTGAGGCCCGTGGCTGGAGCTGCCAACCCCCCAACTGAAGAGGACTATCAGAGCAAAAGCACTTCTCGAGGAGGGAGAAAGAGGAAGGGGAGGGGTGTGTGGGAGCGGCTTTCAGATCCTCGGAGCCCGGCTGACTTCCAGCACCTGAAAACAGGGGTGTGTGCATGGAACAGGCCCAGGCACAGTACTCCCCCAGCCACCTTGAGCTATGACACTGTTGACCATGCAGGAGCTGCGGGCACTATGTGTGTACCCACAGGAGCTGTAGGTGGACACAGGGGCTCCTGCCCTCCCAGGCGGCAGCGGCTGGATCCAAAAGTAGATGGGCACAAGAGTGGGGTTACACAGCCATGCAGCTGTATGACCACAAGCAGGAATTCACCAGCTGGTGCTAGTGGGGTCCCAGTAGCCTCCACTAAGCATCTCCCTCTGCATAACTTTTCTTCTGGGGAAATTAAGAACCACGCTGAGAAGCTTCCATTGTTGGAAAAGGCTTTTTTATTGCTTCGCCTTCTCTCCAGCTCAACAAAGGAATTAAAAAATTAACAAATAAAATGCATCTAAACCAGTCACTATCAAAAGCCTGGACACTGGACGCCCTGTGCTCAGCAGAGTGGGGTCTGGCCCCTGGCACTTCTGCATAGAGGCTAAAGCAAATTCAGTACCTGGATATCCTGGTGGGAAGCTCCCACAGCAGGGCCTGGAACACAGTGATGTCCTTTGTTCGGAGCACAGCAGCCACAGGACTGGAAGGCTCCTGAAGAATTTGTAGCTTCTTTACTTGGAAAACTCTCACTTGCAAAAGACAAGACAAGGATCCACATCCAGGACAGAAAGTGCCAGGCTGAAACAGCAGCAAGATAGCCCTGGTGAGACTGTTGGACACAGTGTGGTGATACCAGTGGCCAAACACCGCAGAGCTGCTCTAGCATGGAGCTGGGGTGCCATCATTAAGGATCTGGGGCTTTCTGTGACCGCCAGCTGATGAAAGTGTGTTCAAGGCAGAGTTTCCTGATCTTATATGCCTTAACCTTTATTCCGGGTGGCTGAGTTTTATGGCTGTGTCTTCCAGATCAGGATCTGATCAGATGGTTGTTGGTGCAGCTGAACAACAGAGGCTCAGGCCACCACCACTGATCTGATCAGCTTATTCTGTCCCTGACTGACCTAAATGACTCTCCAGCCATTCCACTGGTGTAGCACAGTGGTTCTTAACATGTGACAAGAGGATCACCAACAGAGTGTTTTCTAACGGTCCACAGATCAGTGCAAGATGACACAGAAAAGGTGGACTAGTGGTCCACAAGATGAGAAAGTGGGGAACCAGTGGCTTCAAGAACAAAGCAGTGTGTATTCCAGTCCAGAAATGCCCTGCTAAGCCACACACATTTGCTCACTGTAAATTTTGCTGTTATGCCTGAGCCAACTGGGTGGGTGAAGCCTAACTGTAAATAAAATGGTCAACTACCAGTTCTCATAGGCTCTATTTTTTGCAGTATTTCATTAATCAAGAAAGCAAATCCAGAGTAAATCTCTCCCCTTCATCCCATGCCATTTCTGCAGGTGACAGCCACTTCAGTGATTAACATCAACTGGCAGCTTGAATTCCTTTAGTGAATAGAAGGCAATTTCTCCATGATCCACCAGTGCAAAGACCACTGGGATGTCCCCGCTCTGATACGTAACCTGCTTCAAAGCCTGGAGAGATGGGATCTGCTCGTCAAAGCTGCAGGGAGAAAAAAAATATCCCGTTGTTCTCAAAGTGAGAGGAACACAAAGTTGTCTTGGCCAGCGACCACGAAGGCTTGGGATTTGGTAGTGACCCTCCCCACCCCTTTCAGTCACAGCAGGAGGCTGCCTGTACTGCACGCCAGCAGCTGAGAGCTGTCAAATCCTTTGCCAAAACGAAGGGCAACTGCCCGCTGCTCCACGCTGTGCTCATCAGATGCAGCTCACACAGTGACTGGCAAATTGCCAGCCCAGTGCAATCTTAATACCTTTGTGCTAGGCAGATCTTTAGGTTGCTGGGATCAACATCTGAGCTGCTTTTCCCTCCTTTAAACTTTGCCGAGTCTCTTTGCTTGTAAATGAAAACATTCCTGCAGCAAGGATCATCCACCCTACTTGCTCAGGACAGACCTTTGTAAAACTGGATCACCACTTCCCCTGCTCCCCTACAGCTGCAGAAAGTAGAGGAGGGACAAGTTTTGTCTGTCAAAATTAGAAAAGGCAGAGACTGAACTTCGTACCTGCCTGCTGAGTTTAAGTATCAGGTTGTGATCCAGCAAGAAAGGAGACACCTATCCCATGTTCATACTGATCCTGAAGTTACATTTGACAAACATACTAAAGCCATGGTCCTGAGCCTGTGGGAGGTACATGGCTGCAGAAATCCACTGGGATCTGTATTGGCTGAGGATTCAGGAACCATAGAGCTCCCTGCAAACCTGAGCTCTACCTGAGTTTCACAAGCATTGCATAAACACAGCCCTGGCTTCTTCTCCCTGACTCTAGTAATACATGACATGAACAACAACCAGATGATGAAACAGTGTGGGCTGAATACAAGGGGTGGGGAAATTGTCAGCCACAGCCTCCAACAAAGGAAGAACTGAGAGGTAAAAAGAATAATTCTGGGCAAGACCACCCTCAAGGGAGGCACTGGAATCATCCATAAGGCTCACAAGATGCCAGGTCATTTACACATCATTAAGACATCACTTCCACAACTGCAACTGTGATGTTTCTGAGCACAGCATAAGACCCCTGGATACCTCTGAACACACATCCTGACATACGGCTTCCCGGGGTTCGTCTTCTTAAACCTGGCCACAGCATCTGCTTGATACACGTTGAAGTGGATTTTCATGCCCCCCGGGTCCGCCTGCAGCCTGTCGAAGAAAGAACATATCCACCTTCATATGGGATTGAAGCGCTATAGGATATTGACACAAAAGCTCTTGAAGCCCAACTAGCTTGGGCCTTTGAAAGGCTTCACGCCCCCAAAGGACTGACCCTGCAACTGTTCCCATTCCTTCCCACACCAGAGCAAGCTCCTGCCCCACACCTACCCTGGCCCTGTTCTGCACCCCCCCATTGCAAGAAGCATCGCTAAAAGAAACAAAGCCCTGCACTGCCTTACAGGGGCCCCACACAAACACCATGCAGACTCTTTCAGTCAAGAGCAGAACCAAAAGTCCCAAAGCCAAGGTTTTATAATCACTCCAGCAGGGATGGCAGTACATTCCAGGGATGAGCACAGGTGAAACCCAACCTCTGGGGGAGATGACATGGCTGGGGTGCAGACAGTGAATGACAGGAAAAGAGCAACCCTGATGTTTTATCTGGCCTTGAATGCCCCAGATCTGTGCTGCAGGACCTGGTACCTCACAGAAATGCGTGGTACACTCACTACAACAGGGTCCTGGAGCGCTGGATTCTCTCGGCATCCTGGGTGCCAGGCAGCACCCAAATTGCTGCCATGAGCATCTCACGGACCTCACAAGCAGGCAGTCATAAGACATCACCACTCCCTAACAGCTATGAGTTAGCTGGCTGGATACTAACCGAGAGGCTCCATCCAGGATGTGGGAGGGCTGCAGCACACTGATCTGCTGGAGGAGCGCAGCTGGAGGGAGAAGGAACAGGAAAGGATCAGACAAGCTATTTCTCTCCCAGGGCACTCCAAGCACACCACCACCACCCACAAGCCTTCCTCCTCTGACAATGGCTGGCAGCACCACAGTCACCACTGGCTACTTCAAAGATGTCAACTTCGTCATCTCCTCCAGCACACAGCCCACAACACCCTGCAGTTGCTTTGCATCTTGCTGGCCCTGATTTCACATGCTGAAACACAGCAGAAAGGACTGCAGTATAGTACGACATGCGGAATGGATTAGAAGACCTCCCAAGGCTGTATTTATCCTGGCGTTTGAGTGGGCTATAGAGATGGAAAAGCAGAGGAGAAGCTTTCTTCTCTCTCGCCACACCCATGGCTGGGCTCCTCTGCCTGCTTTGCCTAGGCCTTCTAATGAGATTCTCCTTCTCAAGGTACTGTTCCCTAAGCTGAAGTTCAGCTTCTCCACATCACCCCTTTTGCTGCTGTGAATTGGGCAACTTTTCAGAGGGCTGGGGGTGAAAAAGGGTCCCTCTCCAGTACCTGGTGAGGTAACTTCATCTGGCCGCAAAAGCGGTGTGACAGCTTGGTCCCAGAGATGCCGCGGTTGCTTCCAAATCCTCTGCTGGCTCCTCAGCTCCAAAACGGCTTTGTACTCCTGCCAGCTGGAGCAGCGCCTCACCTCCTGGTCAGCATTGACACTGCTCTTGTACCTGTTTTCCCTCTCTCGCTGCTCCCTTTCCTTCCGTGACAGCTTCTCCTGTTTCTGATTGATGCATGAGCACCAGCAAGCTACATCAACCTCCCTCCCCGGCACGTTCTCCGGCAGGAGCCTGTCATCAGGTGAGGGCAGACGTGTGCACGGCTGGTCTGGGGCCACGTTTGGCAAGACAATGGTGGTAAAATCCCAGCGGGGTGCATGGGTACCAATGCTGCTCTCCTTGTGGTCTCCAGCCCAGCTCCTGGAGGGGCTCAGGGAATCCTTTTGTCCTGTATCAAGGGGAACTGCATTTGACTCCCCCTCTCCACTGCCAGCATCTGATTCCTTTGGCTGCTCTGACAAGGGCTTTTCCTCTGTGGCAAGGCAGCTGGAGTCTCCGCAGTTACCTCCAGCTTTTTCGGAGGTACCTTCAGCTTCTGGAAGGTCCTGTAGTACCTTGTATTTCTTCTCATGTGACCTAAAGACAGAAGCAGCAGCATAAAAGGGAGAGCAGCGTGTGGTGGAACTTTATTGCCTTTGAATCTTGACTCCTCCCTGCTAACAGGAAGAATACAGTCTATCAAGACGGCAAAGGTGGAAGGAACCCCAGACAAGTCTGAAAAGCCTTGACAACCTCTTGGCTGGAAGAAGCGCATTTACTTGTGTGACAAAACAAGAAGGGAAAAAAAGCAATAACCCCCTGCAACACTCCTGGCCTGGGGAAGAGTGGCAGGAAAGCCACTTGGTGGAGAAAGACCTGGGAGTACTGATTGATGGAGCTGAACATGAGCAGCTTGTGCCCAGGCAGCCCCCAGCATCCTGGCCTGTACCAGCACCAGTGTGGCAGCAGGGCCAGGGCAGGGATTGTGCCCCTGCACTGGGCACTGGTGAGGCCGCACCTCGAATCCTGTATTCAGCTCTGGGCCCCTCACTGCAACAGAGACACTGGGGGCTGGAGCAGGGCCAGAGAAGGGAATGGAGCTGGTGCAGGGCCTGGAGCACAGGGGTGATGGGGAAGGGCTGAGGGACCTGGGGGGTTCAGTGTGGAGAAGAGAAGGCTCAGGGGGGACCTGATGGCTGCCTACAACTGCCTGACAGGAGGATGGAGCCAGGAGGGGCTGGGCTCTGCTCCCAAGGAACAAGGGATGGGACAAGAGGAACCGGCCTCAAGCTGCACCAGGGCAGGTTTAGATGGAGCTGAGGAACAATTCCTGCCCCAGAGGGTGCTCAGGCATTGGAACAGGCTGCCCAGGGCAGGGCTGCAGGCACCGTCCCTGCAAGTGTTCACACAGCGTGGAGACGAGGCCTCAGTGCCATGGGTTAGTGGTGGACTTGACAGTACTGGAGAAAGTTTGGACTTGATCCTAAAGGTCTTTTCCAACCCAACTGATTCTGATTCTAAAAGCAGGCCAAAACCAAGCAATGAATGCCAAAAGCAGAATACATTTCTCAGCAGTCCTACATGAGGTTTAACTTTAACACCCAGAATCCCAGCCTTGATCTGCAGAGACACACACTCCCCACCTGCCATGCAGCCTCCACATACCCCATATACACCCAAACACCTCCATGCAAACATTATGGAGTTCAGCCAAACCAGCACAGGCCAGGCAGAAACCTTCCTACCATTGCCTCTTACTGGTATGAGATTCAGCCCCTTCTCCCAGAGAAGATGGGGCAATTCTTAAATCAGCAGTCTTATCTTCCAATTCCTAGAATTTCCTAACTCCTCAGGGACTGATTCACTTGACAGCAGGAATGGACCCATAGACCACACTCATCCTCACTTGTCTCTCAGAGGATGTTGCCACCTACTGGAAGCTGTCAGAATTATTAACAAAATTAAATCATTTTCTGTCTGCATCGTGGCAACATTTAGAGGCCATGTGCAAGTACCAGGACTCAACTATACACTCTGCTCTTTAGCCCTAGAGTGTAAGTTGCCCTGAGGGGATGGATAAGTGCAAGATGCACTGCGGTGTTCGCACTCCCTCTAAAAGAGGGCAAGACAACACTCCTGCCACATGTTTCTTCTGCACTGACTTCTCTATCCTTCTACTTTGGCATCTCACCATGGCAGTTGGCAGGTTCAGGGGCAGTTTGCCTGTCTTAGCACTAGGATGCAGTGATGAAGTAGCTGTTCCTGAGCCAGCAGGGCCTGGGAGAGGACAGAAGGCAGCTTTGGGCCACATGCTTACCCGGGACTGGAACTCCTCCTCCTTTTGCAATGGTGTTTCCCAGAGCTTTTGCAGTGACTTTCCAAATTCAATTGCCTCTCGTAGGGAGACAGGACAGTGCTGCAAGGAGACACCAACACAGAGGCTAAGAGCAGGGTGAGGTAGTGGAATTGCCCTTTTTGCTCAGCCTCAGAATACAGCAACAAAAACCTTTTCTTTCAGGCACAGAAAATCCACAAGCAGGACCAGGATGGTCCTCAGTTCACGCCCCATTTCATGTTCCCAACCACCTCCTCAAGAGGGAGGAGCAAGGAAGGGTAGAGTGCCACTTTTATCCTTTAATCTTCCCAAGAGAAGGAATGCAGGGTCAAAGTCCTCTTCGCTGCCGTTCCACTGGGGCCATGTAGCAGGCACAGAGCTGCTCAGGGTCTTCAGAAAGGAAAAAGCAGCACAGAAAGGAAAAGTTGGTTACCTGGGGTCGAATCTCAGTACAACATAACCCAGTTGCTTCAAGTGGCTGAACACCTTAGAGCAAAGGAAAGCAAAAGGGTTAAACAACTACCCCCAAGACAATCTACTTCAGTTTTGCTATCACTGAGCAAACACAGTGCAGCACTCACAGAGGGGAAAATGCCAAGGTGAGGACTCGAAGCAAAGGTGGGAAAACAGGAACGGATCATCTAGAAAACTGAGTGGGAAAAACTTTCCCTGACTGTCCCACTCTGCTCTCAGCCACTGGAGGAGGCGGTGTGGCAGAGGCTGGGCTCCCTGCACCAGCTGGAGGTCTCAACACACCTGGTAATGTGGCAGGTCCATTGCCTCCTGGGACAGCAGGATCTCATAGGCTTCCTCAATGGACAAGGGAAGATCCCTGTAAAAGAGCTGAAGAGAGCCCTGCAGGGCAAAAGCTTGGTGTTGAGAGAATCACAGAGAACAAACCTACGTAAGCTCACACTGCTCTCTTCCTGACAGCTGGTCCCAGCACCCTCCTTGACACGATACCCATGTGCCACCTGGATTATTCATAGTCCCTCTCCTATGCCCAGTTCCCCCATGCCCTTATTTTAGCAGCCAGGCAATCAGCTCCCACCCACCACTGTCAGCTCCAGCTGCATGTTTGGAGGATGCTGCAGGGAGCATGATGCTCAACTACTACAATGATGACTGCTTTGGGAGATAAATGCCTTTAACTTTGATGATCTCAGTGACTCAGGACATGGCACAACTACAAAACCTTTTAGAACCAGCACAACTAAGAGAGCTGGAGCAGAGGAATTGATGGTGTCCTCAGATGTCCTCAGATGCCAGTAGCTGGTGGCTCCTCTGAAGCATTTACTGCAGCCCCAGTGATCCCATTGCTACATTCCCCAAGCAACAGCAGCTCACCTCCCTCAGGCAGCTGTAGGTGAGGCTTCTTTTTTTGACCTTGCTGGGTTTTGTTTTGTTTCGTTTTGAAGACAGTGTTCACCCAAACAAAGCAAACACCACACTAAGAACCACAGCTGCACCCTGGGATGGTCTGAAGGCATCTAACTGGGGACAGACCCTGCAATCAGCAACTGACCAAATAACTGAATTTTCATCAACTTGTTTCCGATCTATTTGTCAAAATGGCAGAGCTAAAAAAGCCCAACCTCTGCAGTCTGGACTTAAGGGATGGCATCAGATGCCCACTATCTGATTAAGTTTTGCTAAAGGAAAAAAAAGCTCCCCTTTAGATCAGACTGATTCCAGGCTTTGGTGGAGAGACAAAAAAAAATCCCTCTTTATGGCAAAGAAATCCAGCTGAGCCCTCACCAGCATTTCTGCAAGCAGAGAAGCACTGAAAACAACTTAGTCTCACTCCCGTCTGCCCCATTTAGATTTCTTTCTGCCATACATCCTGAGAAGAGATGTCAAGTAGGAAGCCCAAATATCTCTGACTGTCAAGCATGTACAGCACTGGCTGCTCTAGAACTGTCTCTCATACCAACACCCTTCACATGGAAAGGTCTGATTTAGTGCCTCTGTGTGGCCCTGTCAGGCTTGAGAGGGTTTCACTAGTTCCTATCAGCTTCAAGGAGAAGCACAGAAAAACTGTGCTAAGGAACTTCTGAACCCTGCCACTGCAAAATCTGTAAGATACACTGGGGACAAGGGAAGAAGTCAGTTTATGACAGAAAAGGCATTGACCAGTCTCAGATGTCCTAATTAACTGCACACAGCTCTGAAGAAAAGAGTTCCTTGGTGTCAAACCCTTTTATTCCAATTAACTCCTACAAGGAATAGCAGATAATGGTTTGATCTCATTTCCACAAATTCCCAGAACAATGTGTTTTCCTGGACTGTGGAAGGCCAAGTGTCCATACACAGATTTCATCGAAGAAATAACTAATATATAAACATGTGCTTCATCATCCCCAGAGCAAGAAAGTAGAGATCTCAATGGAAAACTCTGTAACTTGCTTCTCATGCTTCTTTCACTCTGGTAAGAAAGCTGATTCACTCCTGCTGTACCAACAGAAGTTCAGATCAGGTAAAACTCCTTGTCTCTATCACTGTATTTGACATAGGAGTGGATTAAAATAATACCAGTGGAATAAACTGGACACTGACACATGCTGTCAGTGACACAGGGGCTCCCGAAGAGTACAAAATAACCCATGGCTTGGAGACAAAGAGCTCCATCAGCAACAGGCAAAAAAGAGACCATTCCTCAAGAACCAGGGGTTTATCACCTGCTCAAATCACACCAGCGACCAACACAAGTGTCGTGGTTTAAGCCCACCCGGCAACCCAGAACCACACAGCCACTCACTGACTGCCCTTTCTCCCCCTGCTCCTGGAGGGATGGGAAGGAGAATCCGAAGAATGCAACTCCCATGGGTTGAGATAAGAACAGTGCAGTAACTAAGGTATAACACAAACCACTGCTGCTACCACCAATAATAATGATGATAAGGGAAATAACAAGGGAAGAGAATACAGGCGCTCACCACCTGCCAACTGGTACCTAGCCCAACCTCAGCAGTGATCTTGCCCTTCCATGTAACTGTCCCCAGTTTATATACTGGGCATGGCGTGCTGTGGTATGGAATACCTCTTTGGTCAGTTTGGGTCAGGTGTCCTGGCTCTGCTTCCTCCTGGCTTCCCCTCCCCCCTGGCAGAGCACAAGACTCAGAAAGTCCTTGGTCAGACTAAACATTACTGAGCAGCAACTAAAACCATCGGTGTTATCAGTGTTGTTCCCAGGCTGAAAGTCAAAGCCACAGCACTGCACCAGCTACTAGGAAGGAGAAAAATGACTGCTACTGCTGAACCCAGGTCAACAAGGCAAGTGAAATCAGAATACTGGCCAGAAGGCCAATTGTATCTTGGACTGCATTCAGAGGACTCTGTTCTGCTCTGGTGATCCCCCACATGGAGCACTGCATCCAGCTCTGAAGTCCTCAGTACAGGAAAGACATATGAACCTGTGGAGAGGGTCCAGAGAAAGGCCACAAAAATGATCAGAGGGATGCAGCACACCTCCGGTGAGGAAAGGCTGAGAGAGTTGGGGTTGTTCAGCCTGGGTAAGAGAAGATTTCAGGGACAACTTATTGTGGCCTTTCAGTTCCTATAAGGGGCCTACAGGAAAGAGAGCAAGAGACTTTTTAGCAGGACAGGACAAGGAGTGATGGCTTTAAACTAAAAGAGGAAGATTCAGACTGGATGCAAGGAAAAAAGTCTTTACAATAAGGGTAGTGAAATACTGGCACAGGTTGCCCAGAGAGGTGGTGGATGCCCCATCCCTGGGGACGTTCCAGGCCAGGCTGGATGTGGTTCTGGGCAACCTCATCTAATTGAAGGTGTCCCTGCTCATTGCAAGGGGTTGGACTAGATTTGCTTTGAAGGTCCCTTCCACCCAAACTATTCTATAATTCTAAAGCTGCTACAGCTGCCCCGGTCATTCCAAAAGGACACAATGCCCCATCCATGCCCAGGTATCGTACTTACACACTCCAGCAGGTATAGAGCTTCCTCGGGCAGAAGGCACTGTTTGCCATGCTGTGTGAACCCCATGGTGTGCCAGAACTTCCCCTGGAACAGAAGCACAAATCCATGATGGGCTGTGGCTGGTCCCTACTGATAAGCAGTTCTTTCCCACTTCAAGCAGCAAATTAAGGAATCTGCAAAGGCCAGCAGCAGATGATGGCACCAAGTACACTCTGTAGCTCACTCACCGCAGGGGACTGCAGCTCCACGATGCCCTGTTCTGGCTTCCACTCTGCTTTTACCAGATTCCCCCTGAGAAGGTTAAAGATTAGGTTAATATTGGCATGTCTTACTGTCAACTCCTGCTGTAGCAACACAACAAGCTCAAGAAGGTGTCAAAAGGCAGCAGACTTCCAGGTGGCATTTTTACAGGGTGAGGCCTTAGAAAGACAGCATCCTCTGGATCTAGCAGCACCAGCTGAAGATTTTATCATCACCAACTGAAGACCTAAAGGGTCTTCAGTCAGCATCACAGACATCTGTCCATAGGCTATAGCAGCTAGCTAGGGATGCATGGCCTATAAACCATGACAGATTATACAACTGTTCAGATGCTTCTAAGACACTCAAATTGCTGTATCCCACCCACAGGAGCCTATAGGGAAGAAAAAAAGCAAACCACAAACCCAACCAAAAAACAGCAAATGGAATAGTGAAGGGTGACTCTTCAAGAATGCAAACATTCATTTTTAGTAGCTGGCTTAAGGAAACAGAAGGTAAGACCTGTAGGGTCCAGAACAGAACATCTTTAGTCAGTAGCAGTTTCCCCATCTGAAAGGAAATGTAAACCTACCCTGTCACCCCCACATCTCCAGAGCCTCCACTGCTGGTCCAAGACACGCATTTACAGATGTACTTGCACAAATCTGACTTTGACAGCAGTGGAAGATAACACAGGGAGACCTGCCTGTCTGTGGGAGGTCGCCATTCTAGAGTCCCCAGGGCTGTGATTTTATGTGAATAGTTTGGGCTGCTACTGAACAGTGCAGATAGAGAAACCATGACCAGAAAACAACTGGCCAAAGAGTGTGCACTGACAGGGAGCATGTGAAAGTCTCCCAAGAAACTGTAAACTCCAGAGACTGGTAGTGCTGTTAAAAACCACTAAAACTGATAAACCAAGGACACTGCGAGGAGGCCAAATCTGCACAAGGCCACACATAAACATCTGTTGGAGCAGTTCCAGAGGAGGCCACAGAGATCCTTCGAGGGCTGGAGCAGCTCTGCTCTGGAGCCAGGCTGAGAGAGCTGGGCTGGGGCAGCCTGGAGAAGAGAAGGCTCCTGAAGGGGAGACCTGAGAGCAGCTCCAGTGCCTAAAGGGGCTGCAGGAAACCTGGAGAGGGGCTTGGGACAAGGGATGGAGGGACAGGGCAAGGGGAATGGCTTGAACCTGCCCGAGGGGAGACTGAGCTGAGCTCTTAGGCAGAAGCTCTTCCCTGTGAGGGTGCTGAGGCACTGGCACAGGGTGCCCAGAGAAGCTGTGGCTGCCCCATCCCTGGCAGTGTTCAAGGCCAGGTTGGACACAGGGGCTTGGAGCAAGCTGCTCCAGTGGAAGGGGTCCCTGCCCGTGGCAGGGGGTAGAACTGGATGAGCTTTAAGATCCTTTCCAACCCAAGCCAGTCTGGGATTCTACGATTCTGTGACCAACAAGATGCTGTGTAACTCAGGTCACACACAAGAAATCAGTGGCTGCTGTCTGCAAAGGCTGCAGGAGAACACACACACCTGAGAGAACCAAGGGACTGTCTGAACACCCCCACTGAGGTCCCTGGTGCTGGTGCAAGTCCCTGCTCCGGAAGGAACCGCCGGGGTGTGCTCCCCCGGCTCCTCCTCCCCAGCAGGTGAACGAAGGGATGCCTAAGGGACCCGACTGCGGACACCTCCCTGACATTCCCATTGCACTGCTACAGCCGCAGTGCCCCAGCACCCCACAGCACTCCGCGCCCAGCCGCGGGGACTCACCGCCGCACCACCCGCTCCTCGGAGAGCAGCCGCCACTGCTCCTCCTGGCACAGGCGCAGATTCTCCGCCTGCTCGGCCGAGCCGTCGGGCATGAAGTCCTTCTGGCCCTGCGTGCGCTTCGAGGCCTTCCGGCCGCCGGCCGCCCGTGGCTGCGCCGCGCTGCGGGGCGAGAGGCGCGGCACGGTGAGGGGCAGGGAAACCGAGAGCACCGGGAGCACCGACACCCGCCCCGCGGCCTCCCCGTGCCGCACGGCCCAGCACCAGCCTACCTCAGAGGACGCGAGCACTCGGCCTCCATAGTTCCACCGCGCGCAGCCGCTTCCTGCCGCCACCGGGCCCTAGCGCCGGCAGAGCGAGGCGCCGCTAGCGCGCCCCCTGGAGGCTCGGAGGACTGCGAGCGCTGCGGCTCTCCCCATGCTGCGGGCCAGGGCCGGCTCTGGAGGGTGAGCGCCCCCCCCTCCTCACTGCACGGCGGAGGAAGAAAAGTGGAAGAGCTCCTGGGTTGGGGTAGAGGCAGGGAGGTGGCTGACCCACTGACAGGGCAGGTAACACAGGCTGGGCTCCGGGAAAACTCATTTATTGACAATTAATATTAGTCCCAGGCATGGATATCTGCTTTGGAAGGGTCAACAAGAAACCTGGAGAGGGGCTTGGGACAAGGGATGGAGGGACAGGCCAAGGGGAATGGCTTGAACCTGCCCGAGGGGAGACTGAGCTGAGCTCTTAGGCAGAAGCTCTTCCCTGTGAGGGTGCTGAGGCGCTGGCACAGGGTGCCCAGAGAAGCTGTGGCTGCCCCATCCCTGGCAGTGTTCAAGGCCAGGTTGGACACAGGGGCTTGGAGCAAGCTGCTCCAGTGGAAGGGGTCCCTGCCCGTGGCAGGGGTTGGAGCTGGAGGAGCTTTAAGGGTCCTTCCAACACAAAACATTCTGTGATTCTATGACTTCAGGGGCTTCTGGTGAACATCTGGTCCAGCACCTGGGCCACCTCTTCTTCCCCTCCTTCCTGGCCTTGCTGTCACCTCTCACACTTCCTTCTCCCCCCCTTTTCCCTCCCTCTCCTCTCTGCCACATGGAATTTTGCCATTAAATACATTTCCCCAGAGGCATCACCAGCATCAGCAATGGGTTCAGCTGTGCCCTGTGATGGGACAGTCAGAGCCACCTGGAACCAGGCAGTCATCTGGAAGTGGCTGTGTCCAGCACAGAGCAGATGCTTCCTCTCCTCCCGCGTCCCCCACAGCCCCCACGGCTGGTGCCATGCGCTCTCAGGCATGTGCCACAGCTCCTGGAGCAGGAGCAGTACTGGGAAAGGAGGTTTCTCCCATCGAGGGCCGTTACTGTTTCTCAGGAATCATTGGGCCTCAAGTAGGAAACATACAGCATTGCCCCAGCAGAGTCCCTGTTTCCCACCGTGGTTTCCCAGTCACAGTCCTTTGACAAGGTGCTAGCTTAGGCAGATGAATGCATAAACCCTTCCCCTTCATTTTCCACAGAATGGTTTAATTTTCATTTCCTGCCTGATTATTTCCTTCTCAGTTGAGCCTTCATCCTGTGAGGAGGTGAAGCGATTTTTGGTCAGTGGTGCCCCTCTGTGGTATTGATACCAGGAAACAAAGGGTTAACATTGTGCCTGCTTGCTTAAGCAGTCGCTGTGCTTGGTGAAGCAGAGTTGTAGGAGTTACAGCTGCTAGGCAGAATTGTAGCAGGTAAGATTCATAGCTTAATATTTAAGACCTTCTTGTTCAGATAGTATCTTTAGACAGAAAAGGAACAAAAGACAGCCAGAGTAACAAAATTTACAAACTTGACAAGTTTCTACTTTCAGATACATAAAACCGACTTGTACCAAACCTGAGGTCTGGACAGGAGCCGAAACCCTACTGAGTCTGCGTGAAGGCAAGAAGTTACTTGTGGTGATGAAGAGGAACTACAGGCCTTCATCCTCATGACCCCTGATGACCACCACCAGGAGGCACTGCGCAGGCGCACCAGTGGGATGAATGCCAGAAACCTAATTATAATACTAGACAGAAATAGGTTTTGCATATGTATTAGGCGTGAAGCGTTCTCATGTTTAGGAAATCATTATATGTAATATAAACGAACTGAGTGGCAAAGGGGGGTGTGCATACTTTTGGAGGAGAAACCCCCATGCGCCTCAGCGCTGAATAAAGCATACCTACTTTACAGCTTTAACGAGTTGTGGAGTCAATCCACGCATCAATTTGGGGAACCAGGCAGGAGACCTCTGCTTGGCTGCAGGATCGGGGGAGCGGCGGACATCCTAGGCGCCCCAGGCCACTTGCCTGGAGGAGCTCTGCTCCTTGTCTGCTCGCTGCAGGGACAGACCCCAACCTGTGCCGGCTGCAGAGAAACGGTGTGCTTGGAATTTAGGTTTGTATTTTAGGGGGCCTGTAAGGCGTACGTGTGGTCCAGGGCTGCTGGTAAGGCGCGCAGAGATGTCTGGCACACAGCGAAGTTCCCCTTGGCAGGTAGGGCTTGCAAGCAGGGAGCTCGCCGACCAATAGAGCGGCCGCTAGCGACCCTGAGGGTGCATCCGGTGAGTCCGGGATATCGCCACATCCCAGGCTTTTGGGAGCCAGGATGGACCTGCTAATGACTGTAGTGGAAGCAGGTGAAGGGTAAGCGGAACCTCTGTGTGAGTGTGTCTGTGGGATCCCGTGTCTAAGTGTTTTGTGTGGCTGAGATGTGGCATAGCTCTGAAGCAGGTGTGCAGTCCTGATCCCTGGTTCCATGTTCTCCACAAGGAGAGCAGCCAGAGATGGACGAAGCGTATTTGTCTAGTGTTGTGTCTAAATGTTTTGTGTGTATATATGTCTGTTGTTGGTATTAAAGATTACAGTATTTAAGCAGTGGAGGAGGAGTAGATGAAAGTAAACTGTGACTAATGGGGGGGGGGTGGGGTGGAATTGAGAAGAGTTCCCTCTCTGCACCCCAGTGGCTGTATAACAGAAGTATAACCTCTAATATTTGTGGTCCTATTCTTGAGACCTGGACTTTACACTCAGAGAACTATAGCCTCACGTATGGGTGCATAATAACTTTTGAACAGTGGAACCTGTCGTAGATACCAGGACAGTGTAAATTTTGCTGGAACCCCAAACTGTGATCTAACAACAGAGGAGTTGATCTGCAGAACCCAGAGATGTTATTTTACTGAACCCTCTGAGCATATCATAAAACTTGTGTAGGTGCTCTCATATTATTTGTATAACTGCATCCAGGGAACACTGGGAGAGAGAGGCTATCGAGATTTGTAACAGACTGAAATGGGAGCTGGTCAAAGCAAGGAAATTTGGAAGAAAAGCCTATGGGGTAATATAAACGAACTGAGTGGCAAAGGGGGGTTTGCATGCTTTTGGAGGAGAGACCCCCATGCGCCTCAGCGCTGAATAAAGCATACCTACTTTACAACTCGAGCGAGTTGTGGAGTCAATCCACATATCAGTATGTGAGGGAATGAGGACTGGTGAGGGGCAGCAGGCTGGATGCTGGCAGGGCTTTTTCCCCCTCATTTCCAAAACGCACGTATTTTGGAGGCTGTTTGGACTGCCTGGTTATAACATAACCCCAGGATGCACATCCTGTGGCTTTCAACTGATTGTCTGTCCCCACTTTGTGTAACTGAGACTTTCCTTAGAGTGGATGTGTTCAAACTGCAAAGGAAAGGCTCTGATCCACAATCTGCTTTTGTCACCCACTGTGATTATAAGACTCGGGAATGTCAAGACATCTCGGTTCACATTTCTTTCCAATATGGGGATCTCCGCTGCCAGGGGCAGGGACCCTGTTCTTTACAGGACCACCAGCAGGGAAAACCTTCCAGGCTTCCTGGTGGGCTCTGTGGGTTTGCCAGAGCCTTGCCCGGCCCTGCTGCCTTCCAGAGTGCCCTTTGGTCTCTGCTGCCCGACAGGGCCCCTGCAGCTTTCTGAAGTGCCCGGCGAGCTCTGCCGGGCTTACAAGGGAATGCCAGGGCCACTGATGTCTTTGGAATGCCTGGCTGGCTTTGGCAGGCCTTGCCAGTGCCTGGCAGGGCTCCTGCTGCTTCCCATAGTACTCAGGGGGTTTTCACTTTGCCAGAGACTGCCAGTGCCCCTGCGACTTCCCAAATTCCTGACAGGCTTTGGTGGACTTTCCTATCACCTTCCAACCCCCCAGCTGTCCTCCTGAATGCCCAGATTGATGTGGCCTACTATGCCTGAGGCCACCACAGCCTCTGCTGCCTTCCAGAATACTCAACAGCTTTCCATGGTGGGTTTTGCAGGAGCCTTGCAGTGTCCAGTCTCCCTGCCGGGATGACCAATGGCTTTGGTGAGCTTTGCCATAGACTGCCAAGGCCCCTGCTGTCTTTTGGAATATCAGATGGGCTTTGCTGGGCTTCCCCAGAGCTCACTATTGCTCCTTCTGCTTGTCGTGGTACCTGGAGGGCTTTGCCAGGCTTTGGCAGAACCTGCCGGGGGCCAGAAATGGGCTTTTTCTGGGCCCTTCAGGGCCCCGATGCCTTCCCTAGTGCAGGGGGATGCAGGAGGGTGCCGGGGGATGCAGGAGGGGTGGGGAGGGGTGGTGCCGGGGGATGCAGAGAGTGATGGGGGCTGCCGGGGGATGCTGAGGGCAGCAGAGGGATGCAGGGGGGTGGCCGGGGGGATGCCGGGGCCAGGCACGGCCCAAGGTGCCCCCGACCCTGCCGGCCTCGCCGGGGGGGCGCGGCCCCGGACTACATTTCCCATCGCCGCCTCGGCCGGGGGCGGTGCGGAGCGGAGCGGAGCGGGGGGCGCGGAGCGCGGCGGGGCCCGCGCAGGCGGAGGCGCGGAGCCGCGCAGGGGCATCGGGCCCGCTCGGCTCGGCTCGGCCCGGCCCGGCCCGGCCCGGCGAGGATGCGGGAGGGGCGGCCAGTGGCCCCCCGCTGCCCTCCCGCCTGAGGGGCGCCCGCGCCGCCGCCGCCACCATGAAGAAGCAATTCAACCGCATGCGCCAGCTCGCCAACCAGACGGTGGGCAGGTAGGGATGGGGATGGGGATGGGGATGGGCCGCGCCCTGCCTGCCCCCTGCCTGTTCCGCTGCATCTTCATCCTGCCCCCTCCCTGCCTCCCTGCAGCACCTGCTCCCTGCCCGCAGCTTCGGCTCCTATCCCCTCCCTGCGCTGTCTCCATCCTACCTGCCCCACTCCCACCCCTTGCCAGCTCCTTTGCCTGTTTCCTGCCCGTGCCCTGCCACTCCACTGCACCTGCCTACTCCTGATCCTGTACCCTGCCTGCTCCCTGCCTACCCCACTGCCCCTGCCCATCCCGTTGCTGTCTTGGCTGCTTCCTGCCAGCCCCACTGCTCCTGCTCCTTTCCTATAC